CTGCATTGGTGGGTGGTTGTGTAAAAGGAAAGGCTCTACCCACTGGTTACCTTCTCTATGTGTCTCACAGCCTTGATTTCGAACTGCTTCCTCTTTTAAAACAATTTTTAAAAAATGATAAACTACTGCCATGTCAATGTGTCACCTTAGAAATGAGTTCAGGGAAGCAAGCTCTCCCCAGCTGCGTTTCTAGATTCGAGCATCACTTTTTATCAGTTGCCTTCCTTTGTTCAACAACCTATGAGAGGTTCTTTCTCCCTAGCACAGTATTGTCCAGTAGAAATAGGTAAATCACACAGGTAATTTAAAATTTTCTACCAGTTACATTAAAAAAAAAGTAAAAACAAACAGGTGAAATTAATTTTAATAATATATTTCATTTAACCCAACATATCCAAAATAAGTTCACTGCAACATGTCACCAATATAAAATTATTAATGAGGAATCTTACTTTCCTTTTTGTACCAAGACTTTGAATCGGATGTGTATTTTACATTCACCCCCATCAATCTGGATGAGCCACATATCATGTGCTTAATAGCCACATGTGGCTACTGGCTGCTGTATTGGACAGCAAAGGTCTAGCAGATCAACCTAAACCGTTCAGCCTTGTTTTGATAATCCAGCCTTGCATGGCCAGTAGTGTTCCCACTGCTTGTCAGAGCAGAACCACTAGTCCAGCTCAGCTCCTCTTGCACAGTTCCTGGAATGCACTGTGTTTACTTGCCTTCCATTACCCTGTTTATCAGTGTCCCCCCTCATGGTATTGTCTCACCTCCCATCTTATTCTTTCCTAATTCTTAAAGGTCCAGCATATTCTCCAGCCAATATAGTGCTTAAAATAAGTGCCATACAAGTTTGTAATCAATTAGATACTACCCTGCATTGGTCACTGTTATTTAACTTACGTTCCTTCTCCTAACTAGATCTTAATCTCTTTCTAAGGCAGAGGATATGTTTTATATTTCTTTAGTATATCTCATGGTGCCCAGAACAATCATTAGAGCTCAACAAATACTTATTGATTGGCTCATTGAGGGAATCAAACCACTGTTCAAAAGATAATATATTTTTATTCTCTCTTCATTACTGTAGACACAACCATTTCTTAGCAATGCCTCAAGTTTAAATTTTCTTCTTTTGTACTTTGGCCAGTTAAGAACTCAAGCATCCTCTAAATTACAAAGGAAGTGGAGCTTTGTTCGTCTGGAAACTAACAAAAGGTAAGGGTGCCCTTTTGGACATTTGGCGTAGCAGCCAACGTGTCCAGAAGTTAACCTTTTGGCCAGTGTGACATCTCCCATCATTTTATGATGTTCATCCCTCAAAACACAATCCTGTAATTTAGGGATTCCGCCGCCAGATGGTGATGGGGCCTGTGGCAGGGTTACACAACCCAGACTATAAGACATCTGCCAAATATTCTTAGTTCAATAGTGGTATTTACAGAACACATTTAAAAAAAATTCATAAGGATTCTTTGTTACCTTCATAACTTATTAATTACTATTAATAGTGGCTTTAATATCTTTCCCAGATAATCATTAGATACACTTTCTATCTGATTTTCTAACTCATCTTTAAGTCAAATTACTCCTGGACTTAATAAACAGTTCTGGAACGTCATTCTATTTGGACATGAAAAGCCCTTGCAAAACCTTCCTCCAGTCAGTCAAAGGGGCTTCTGCCAGTGAAAACACCCCTTTTGCATAGTGTCCTCTTTAGCTTCCTCAAAAACTCTCTTCACGTGAAGAAAGGTGGGGAGGCAGGTAGGGGAGGTGAATAAAAGAGCAGCCGCAACAACAGCCCTCACAAGTCCGTTAAATCACGAGGAGGGAGTTCTGAAGTTTAGTTTAAGGCGCCATCTTAACTGATATGAAAAAACAAAACAAATGAGAAAACCAACACACCAAAATAGAACAAACACTTGTGTTAAAACAAGAGTTTGAACTCCCCAAATTCCCTTCTACAGAACCACCCATTCCAATCGAAGTTTTTAGGAGACTGGAGCCACAAGTTTAAAGTTTTCAAATAACGCTTTAATTAGTTTCTCAACTTCTACTTTTGATATTTAATCTTCTCTATTTCCAAATGTCTAGGTAGAAAAAAGGACGATGTTCTGTGCTGCTCAGCTGCCCTGGTCACTGCCCTGGTCACCGCACCTGAGAGCTGACCTCGGATTTGGGGTCCTCAACACCCCCACTGCCTCACGTCAGGAAAGAGACTTCCCTTTTACGTTCCTCCTTATTTGTAGAGTGTTCCCTCTCCTCATGTTCTAGGGGAGGATAAGTGAGATCAGCTGTAAGTTTTAAGAAAATTCTTACAAACTTAATGCTAGGTATTCACCTTAACACATTCCTCTTTGAAGAGTTGCCAAATCCGTCTCCTAAAAGTGCGCTCCAATCTAGGCACACCTAGAGGTGGTTCAGAAAACTCGGGGCTACCACAGCTGCCCATTAAACACAACTCCTCAAAATCTGCTTCACTTTTCTCCTCAAAGCAGCAAGCTAAATCCTCATATTGATTTTCTGAACTTATGAAACAAATGGTGTAATGGACTGAATGTTTGTGTTCCCCTAAAATTGATATGCTAACATCCTCCCCGCCCCCCCCCCCCCCCCGTAGTATTTGGAGGTGAGGCCTTTGGGAGGTCACTGGGTCATGAGGATGGAGCACTCATGAATGAGATTACTGCCCTTATAAGAAGAGGGCTTGCTTCCCCGCCTCTCTCCTCTCCACCATTTGAGGATACAAGGAGAGGACGGTCACTTGCAAACCAGGGAGGGGGCTCTCATCAGGCACCAGATCTGCCGGAACCTTGAACTTGGACTTCCAGCCTCTAGAACTGTGAGAAATAAATATTTGTTGTTCAAGCCACCCAGTCTATGGTAATTTGTTATAGCAGCCTAAACAGGCTAAGACAAATGGAAAGACCTGAGGAACAAACTTAACAAAAATTCCCAGTGCACTTGAAATAGAATCCAAATGCCTTACTCTGGCTTAAAGACGCCAGGTAACACTGCGGCTGATGCTCCATTCTCATCTCATATCAGCCTCCGTCTTTGCACGTCATGGGCCAGCACTCAGATCCTTGAACCACCAAACTCTTTTCTGCCTCTGTTGTTTCTATCTTGAACATTCTCCCACTTCCCCTTTCAGGTCTCAGCAAAAATGTCCTTTTCTCAACCTGCTCTGATAACCATTTCTAAAGCAGCCTCCTTGCCAACTCTGCCCAGTCACTGTTTATGCCATGACCTTGTTTATTTCCTTCACAGCATTTATCACTACCCGAAATTGCCTAGATTATTTATGTGGTTACTTGTTTATCATCTCTCTCCTTCTTTTAGCACGGAAGCTCCATAAAGGCAGGAGCTTGCTGTCTTGTTCACCACAGCATCTCGCCAATGGCTAGACAGTGCCAAGCACAGAGCAGGCATTCAGTCAGCATTTGCTGAACCACTTACTCACATTGTGACTTTCAATTTCTTTTCCCACAAACCATGTGAGCAGTACTACAAACCAATAAGACTCAGCATAGTAGAGTTTGTCTTCTCCCATTTTTTCCTACCTCTCCCTCTGAGGAAGGTCTGCAATGAGGGGACTTCAGGGCTGGAAGCAACAGGGAGGAGAATCATCTGAGTCTTAACCTCATCGTCTCATTAGTCTTGTTAAGTGTCCACAGTCATACACGCCCATGGGTACTGCTGGGTTAGTTCCTAAAGTCACTTCTCTCTGGCTCCTTCAGCTCTGATTTCCCACAACTCTCCCTAAAGCCCAGGGGTTTGAGGGCTTGGACTTTGCAGACAGAGAGACTCAACTTTGAAGCCTGGTTCTGCCACTTACTAGCCACGTGACCTTATACTTCTCAAGCCCCAGCTTCTTCATCTGTAAAATGGGAATGACCGTAGGATCTACCTCACAGGGCGGTCGTGAGACTAAATGGATGATTCAGACAAAGGACTAGTAAAGCGGGTTGCACAGAGCACCCCACAAACAGTTATTATCCCACCCCACCCCCAAGGTTTGGCCTCTCTCTCTGATAACTTTGCATGGTTACTTTTATCAACTGATGTCAGTTTTAGCTCAGGGTGTCTGCAGAGTTCTAGAACACAGAAAGCCAGCCAGCGCACACCACTCTTAAATAATCAGGACACGTGTTCTGGACAGAAAGAAAGGACCTTCTCCCACTTTTGAGATTTAATACACATCTCACTACTTAGCCTGCAACTGGGACAAGGGTTACCAAGTGAACTCACTGGGTGTTTTGTTGGACTCAGATAAATGGGGCGCTCTCCTGACCTCAGGCCTAAGCATGTAATGGTTTGCAGAATGCTAGCAAACAAAACAGATAAAACCTATCAAAGCAAGAGAAAGGAGGATGTTTTAGAAGGCCTCTGCGCAATATTGATCTCAATGAAGGGTACGAAGAAACAGCTCCCCTCCTCTTTAATTACAAGGCCATGAGCATTGCAGTTTCCCTCTACTGCATTTGCAAAGTGCTTCTCTCCAAATAGCTCAGTGATGTCAAGGGGTGTAATAGCTACACAAAGGATTTTCAGTTAACATACAGGCCGAACTGTACTTTAGAATTCAAATATTAAGATGTGCAAATACACTTTCATATATAAAATCATAGCATGGCTTGTTCTATATACTTGGTTTATTAATCACCTGCGAATTTATCTTGAAAAAACAAAATCAAACTGGTGCCTATGGCAGGAGATCCAAAGGAAACAGTTCTGCTGTCTCGGGCAAATTAATTCCATATTGCTTTGTGCCTCAGTTTCCCCACACGAAAAATGGGGATCAGGAAATCTTAAAAGATTGACAAATAACGAATAGTAATCAAGCTAACTGAAAACAGGGCCCTTATAAGGCCAGGGAACAACGGCCACCCAGCTTTACCTTGGAACCTGGGGGAATGGGCCGCACATCCTGTCCCGCTGCCCCAGCCAACTCTGCTGCTGGGCACCAGGGGATGGCCATCCCGGGGTGTTACCTTCACAAACTGCACATCGCTGAGGATGTGGACTGAGTAGTCCGGTGTGTAGAGGTTGTTGCTGCTGCTGCACAGCTGGGTGTTGCTCCCCCCAAAGTCACTGCGCTCACGGTTCGGAGACTCGGAGCGGTTCAACCCGCTGCCACGAGAAGGGGACCGGTTTACTGCAGATGGTGAGGGACAGGTGAGGGAAACCAGGCGAGGAAGGGTGGGTGGGGAGAAAGGAGAGGGAAATGAAGAGAGAGAGAGAGAGAGGTGTTGTTTACTGAGGTCCCACAGGACTTTTAGGCAAGGGTAACACAGGATGGTGGAACTGGGCCCTCAACGCCCCCATCAGAGCCCAGCCGCTCCACTGATGTTCATTCCCGTGAGGAGCAAATACCTAAGACAGGAGCTCCTGACTCCCCCTGAGCCCTCTGCTCAGGCTCTTCCTGTTCCCCACGACCACTACCAGGGAGGAGCAGGGGCAGAGGTGGTCCACTGCCTTTCTCATTTCTGGTCTTCGGGTTAAGAGCAGGAGATGAGGACTGTGCTGTGAGCGTGGTTAGCTGCCCCAGACGCTGAGACCCTATACCAGAGTGAGTGAGTGTATATAAACTTCATTAGCAAACCTTCTTTCAGAAAGGCCTAGGCCTTAGGTTTGCCCTCAAAACCATCTGTCCCAGCACAGATAACCAATCCCCTGTGGTGATGCCTTTCAGTGGGGATAACTCAGGTCTGTCCCAACAGGGGCAGGGTCCGGGACAAGCAGAGGCCTGCAAACCACATATTTAAATCACATTAGTAAACTGTTAAAATATGTTCTATCCTTGCCCTTGACAAATATACCTTCATAACAACCTGGAAGGCCAGGTCCAACTACTTAGAGTTTTGTGCCAGAAAAAGGGCTGTGTGGGGAGAACCCCTACCCTCAGGCTTCCTGGTTCCCTTTCCCCAGGGCTGTTTAGGTGGGAATTCTGGGATTCTTGTACCTGAAACGTTGTCTAGAGGGAAGAACACATCTCTAGCTGGGCACATCTCTTTGTTCCTGTGAACTCCTCACCCCACAGAGAAGGCCAGGGCTGAGGCGGGCCAAAGCAGGGCTCTCTACCATGTGGGTCTAGGGCAGGGCTCTCTCTAGGCCCAAGTGGGGGACTGGAATAACTTACAGGCCTTCTGTCAAAGGCCGCCTAAATTTTCAAACTGAGGTTCTCTTTCCATTGTCAATAACCTCTTCTTTGGGAAAGTTGAATTAAGACCATGTCACTTGGTTTCAAAATGGACTATGTGAACTACCTCCCTCAGGATCAGTACAAGAGAGGTTCTTAAGGTGGTCCGAGCATTATCTCAACCGCAGAATAACGTCGAGTGAGAGACTGCAAAGCCCCAGCCACCCCTCTGCTTCCCAACTGATGCTGCTGTGCATTTTCCCCCAAAAACGGGAGGTGGGGGGCTGTCAGCCTCTCATAACACAGGTTTAGTTCAGGGGCTCAAATGCAGAGTCCAATTCCTCAGAGATTCTGTTCCTTGTTCTTTCAGGGCAGGAGCTCGGGAATTTAATTCTGTCTGTTGAGATAATGCTGCCATCAATCAAAATATTTGATTAGTATCAATTTGGAGTGAGTCCTGGAGGGTTGACATCTGTTCAGCTGCCAAGCTGTTATGTCTGGCAAACCACTTAGCAGAAAGATTAAAATAACAATAGATTGAATCACTTTCTCATTAGAACCAGAATAATCACTGCCTCGATAGGATTATGGAATTAAGGATTCCACTTCCAGCCATCCCCTTCTCAGTAAATGTCATTCACACATAAGCTGTTACTTAAGCCAGAAACCTGGGAGTCACCCTTGACTCCTGCCACTCCCTCAGTCCCACATCAAGTCCTCTTATCTCCTCTTCCCACACAGCAAGCCCATCTGCCTCTATCTCTGTCTCCACTCAAGTCCTGGGTACCATTACCCTTGCCTGGACACAGTCTGTCCCCCACTTAGAATCTTATAATCAGTTCTCACCTCAGCTGCCAGAAGAACATTTTCAAAACCACAAATTAGCTTCCTTTTCTTCAGTCTGAATAAAATCTAAATTCCTCGCTTTGTCCCCTAAAGCCCCCCATGACCCGACTCCTGATTTCCCTTCTGATCTCATCTTGGGGCTCCCTTCCCCTCCCCTGCTAGCTCTGCTCTAGCCCACTGGCTGCCTTGGGATCCTCAATCAGGCAAGGGTCCTCCACCTCAGTAGATGCCCTTCCTCCCCACCCCCCAGTCCCTTCCCCACCTCTACATTAGGTCTCAGCTGAAATGTCACCTTCTCTGAAGACTTTGGCCATCCTAAGAAGATTCCCCCCGTTTTCCTCTAACACTGCCCCCTGTTCACTCCTTCAAAGTACTTTTCACAAGTTTTAATTAATTACATGATTGTACTTATTTATTATGTCAACTCAGTTCAACTCTAAATTCCATGAGGGCAGAGACCTTGTCTTTTCTGGTCATCATGGTACACCCAGTATCTAGCACAGAGCCTGGCCTAGAGTATGTGCTCAATAAAAATGTACAGAATGAATGAATCAGCACCTAAGAGTCCCTTAAGGAGCTTTTATTTTGAATCTAAAATTTCATTGAGAAAAAGGTTTCAGAGCTCTCAAATCATCCTGGAATCTGAAGCCTTTCCTCTGCAACCTAAAGTCATTCTGGGGAAGCTGGCTTCTTCAAGAAGCTAGGGGTGGGCAGAAGGACACTCCAGAAATACAGCTCAAGAGAGAGAAATAGCGCGCAAAGTGTGCAATGAGAAACAAAGAGCACCGAGAGCCTCAGGCCTTGGCGCAGTAACTTGAGGAAGAGCCATAGGGAGCGTCAGGATTTTGTTTGTTTGTTAGTCTGTTTAATTTGGCCCAGTAACTTGAGGAAGAGCCACAGGGAGCGTCAGGATTTTGTTTGTTTGTTTGTTAGTCTGTTTAATTAGAGCTTGTGAAACAGGGGGTCCTAGACTCAGGTCTCTAGGACCCCACTTATCCACTGGGGAATAGAGGACCAGACCTTTCCCCAGAGTGACCAAGACTGAGAGGGACAGTGATGGTGCCATGAATAGAGTGAAGCACCAGTGACTGTAAATGGCAGAAGTACTGGGGAGACAAATATGTATTTCATTTCTGCTCCTGGTCCCTTGCAAACTAACAGATGAGTTCTGGCTTGGCTAGACCCTTTGTGGCTGTTCTAAGGTGGTGGCTGGCTAAGTAAGTGGATGGTGCTTCCTTGGGGCTAGTTGTTATGGAAAAGCAGGGCAGGCAGTCCTGCAGGAGAGTCCTGCAGGCATTTTTGGCATGTGAGTGGAGTGGCCTGGAAAACAATACCTTGACCTGGTGGGTCTTGACCTCAACTCAGTTCAGAACAAGGGGAGAGAGTGTGAGTAGGGCCTATGGCTTCAGTTACCCTGAGAAATAACCATTGCTCCTTGATAATCCTCCACTTTGCCTGGTTGGACATGTGCTTCACACACCCTACACCTGCTGTTCCACATCGTCATCCCTATGTCACAATTCAAGATATATTCAGGGAGGATGACAGGGAAAGACAGCCCTATACTAGAAGGTTCTGCCTGAATCACTTCCACTCTCCATTGGAAACAGAGGCAACAACTACACCCCTGTTCCCTAGAAAGTTCTCATCCTCACTGGCTCTCAGCACAGGAATGTCACTCTACTGTCACTCACAGGGACCTGCATGTCAAACACAAGCGATATCACTGTGGTACCGGGAGGAGAAACACAGCTTGCTTTCTTTTTAAAATAAAAACAATGCTATTGAAGCTTTATTCATAAAATCCCAAAGGATTCCCAACATCAAAAGATACAACTGTCTTACAAAGATCAGGTCTATTAAAAAATTTTGAAAAGGAAAAGGAACCCTGATTTCGTGACAAAGAAAGTCCCAGCTCATCTGAGTGTTCTGCAAGAACAATGTTTTCATGGCCCAGAGCCTGACATTCCTCAATAGGTGGGATGCTGATGACTCGGCATTTCGGTAATTGTGCACATACATTCAGAGGTTTCTGAGCAAGGGAAATGGAAATGCTTTTAATAAAAAAAAAAGGAGAAGAAATCAGTAACATACGAGTGTCCCAGCAGCATGGCAAACTAGTTCAAGTTGTATAATTCCCCGTGGCGTTTCCTAAGAGCACAGAGGCACAGCTTGGGGGAGTAAAGCAAGGGGGGAAATTCTGTTTAGTGCAAAGAGGTCTAGGAGGGGACAGACCAAACAGCGATGCATAAAGCTGACCACAGGACCCTTCAACAGGAGGGAGGCCAAGCAGCCAACATATCCCTTGCCCACGGTTGCTGTTACATCATATCCTCAAGCTGGCCCTGGAGAGACTGGGTGGTAGGGAGCAGGATTTCCTGCTCTAGACCCCCAAGTGCTCTGGAGAAGTGTGGTAGAACTCATTCCTGCAGCCTTTGCATGGCAGTCTGCAAGAGATACCTGTCCTAGATAGTAAGTTGGAGTGAGGTGGGATGGAGAAGACACCAGGGTAAAATTGGGGATGGAGTGGGAGAAAGGGTGGAAAAGGATTTTACACTGTAGTTGGGGCTGGATGGAATCTGCACTTATAGGTAGGGGCCCTAAAAACCTATACACTGCTCTGAGACTCTGCTTCACTCATGACACCTGGATCTGGGGAGCAGGATCCATGATACAGAATGCTCCACTGGCCATTTCAGCTTGGAGACTGGAGGGGAAAGTAGGGTTCAGTGGCTGCCTGCTTGCATCTTTTGGAGCCTCAGTGAATGACAAGGGAAAACAGCCCGCTTTGGTCATGGTCACTGTGCCGCGGGACATCCGTGTTCTCCAAACTGGATGGGGCAGTTTAACTACATAGGCTTATTAGAGTGCAAACTAGGATTATTAAAATTCATCATTCTGGGGTAATAGTCAACATCAGACAACCAAATGCCAAAAGCTCTCTGTCAAAGCCACAATGCGAACTCTGCAAATCAGCCCAAGTTATAAGCCCAGATGAACTCGCTCACGTTACATGGAGCTTTAATGGTTCCCAAATGTTTACCATGCAAGAGCCAACCCAAAGGAATATTTCCACTTACCACATTTCACAAAGTGAAAAGATTATTTTTAGGAACTTTGCGTATATTCTGGGAGAAAACTCTATCCTCGTCAATCTCAAAGCACGTTACAGATGGACTATCTAATACTGAAAAAGAACCCTTGCTCCCAATGCCTCTCCCTGCTCTGACCTCTGTCCTGCTTGTGTGCTTTTGTGGATTCGGAAGGACTGTCATGGGCAACTCGAAATCATTGCCACATCGTCGGGAGAAGAAAGAAGGAGGATCTGGGGAGTGGGAATGATGACTGCAAGGGAGCCACGTACTCCCAGTGGGTCGAGCAGAAGTTTCCATTTTAAATGAAAGCACCTGCAAAGCTGGCTAGTTACACTGCACTCTGGAGGTAATCCAAAAACCCTCTACTCTCCTTATTTCAAACTAAGTCTCACATAGAAGGAAGCTCTCTACGGATAATGGTGGCAATATTTGGTGCAGGGACTGCTGGCCTCAATCCAGCGTGAGCACCATATTTGTTAGCACAGGCTACTCTCAAAATGCAAATAAGGCACAGGGGGCACAAAATGCCTATGTTCAGCGGGGAGCAAGGTCCCAGGCAATCGGAGAGCAGGACCTGAGAGACTTGGATTCCAGTCGTCATCCCTCCACCTTCTTACTACACCAATGACATCGACCCGATGGCCTAATTTCTGAGAGCCTGTTTCCTTACCTGTTGTTTCCCAACAAGAATTCCTGCTTGTCTCCTAAGGTGGTCGTGGGGATCAAATAAAATGACAGGGTTCTTTTAAAACTTAAAGGCCCTATTAATTTCCAGGATTCCTCTTTTTCCTGGGTAGGATGGCGGTTAGACATAATATACATAAATTAACGTATCTGGATCATAAATCAAGTATGGGGCCAGAAGGTACCAAGGGCTGCTTTCCACAAAAATCCTCTGACTAAGGCTGCTTCTTCTGGTGAAGTGGCACAGAAACAAGAGAGACAGCAGAAATACAGTAATACAGTTCTGGGGTATGTCACCCGGTCACGGGGAAGGCTTCACAGTTGGCTGTAGATAGAGACAGGACAAAAGGCGCTATGGAGAGGAAAGAGCCCAAGGAGAAGCAGGGCATCCCTGCCTCTCATTTCCTCCTGCTGTGCCCGTCACTGCTCTGCTCTGCAGTTAAACTAAGGGTAGGAATAAGCTAGCTTTGTTCTCACCTCTTTGTTGCTCACCTGTTTCCTGCTGGGTTGAACACCCACAGTCATGGAAAATGGGCAGAAGGTTAAAAGAGCCCTGAGCACATGGCACTAGCCAGAGTTGGACCAGAAATCTCAAAACCACCAGAGGGGATGGTACGGCAGGAATGAGTCACCTTAATCTCTATCTGACACTGCGTTACCACGAAGTTTTTCATAATAAATACTAATGAACTAGAATCAACTTTACTTTAACTGAGAAATTATAATTAACTAGACTGTCTCGTTAACTGAGGGTTAATTAAAAAGGAAAATATACTCCTGCCTTGATCCTCTTCTTTGAAAATCTTTAAAAAAATGTGCATTTTCCCTTTCTGCTGAAACTTCATAGCACACTCTACACTCACCAAGATTCCCTGCATGTGAAGGATCTGGAGGGTCCATGATGTGGTCAGTTCTAATTTTGCTGGCATGCAGAAGTAGACCAGTTAGCTGGTGATGGCACCAGCCTGGCATCTCACATTGATCATACTATCCTGTAGTCATCATGAAGGCATTAGCTCTCACAAAGCAAGAAAAATTTTATTTCATGGTGGAAAATCACCGTCAAGTGAGAGAGAAAACTTTGGTGAAATTTGAGAAGGTGGTTAATTTGTCTTGTGCCTCTAAACATGGAAATCAGATGGGTTTCTATGGAAAAATGTGACTTGGGAGAAAGCAGAAGTCAAGAGAAATTATTGTGAAGTTGCAAACTTGCGGGTTGGAGGTCTCAGGACATAGCCTTTTTTTTTTTTTTTTGAGGAAGATCAGCCCTGAGCTAACATCTGCTGCCAATCCTCCTCTTTTTGCTGAGGAAGACTGGCCCTGAGCTAACATCCGTGCCCATCTTCCTCTACTTTATATGTGGGACGCCTACCAAAGCATGGCTTGTCAAGTGGTGCCATGTCCGAACCGGTGAACCCTGGGCTGCTGAAGAGGAATGTGCGCACTTAACCGCCGCGCTGCTGGGCCGGCCCCAGGACACAGCCTTTTTGAACACTGAAGGTCTAATGCACAGACAGTGGAACATAAGTAGATTCTTGATGACTAAGGCTATGGTGGGGCCTCAGAATCTTTACTGCAGCCTTGGGATAAGGAAGACAGATGCAGACGGTATAGGAAATTGGACTGTGTTCTGATTTCAGGGCAATTTAACAAATACTTGGTTTGGTCATTACTTGCTCAATGAACCTCAGAGATCAACCTCCAGAGATGAAAATAATGCAAACAGTTAATTGATTGTTGAGATTTACTGCAGTCTACTCAATCCTGGAATTACTGTGTAGCTCTATGAGGAGCTACTTTACCTGATTAAAAAGAAAGCCAGTAAAGTTTATTTAATTAACAAGAGAGGTTAACCTAATGAAACATTGTTTTGAAATTTTTATATATAGCATCCTTTGTATGACCAGAGCCAGAGAGAATATGGTCACCACATAGTAACATTACTAGAAAGATGAGGGTGGGTTAACGGTCAGCTAAAGGCAGAGACCATATAGAAGGAAGGGTGGAAGAAAAATAGGAATACAGCATAATATTCCATTGTTTCTTTCTATTTTTCTCCTGCTGTACTCCTCATCCCTCCATTCTGCGGTCAGACAAAGGATGAGGAAGAACTCACACCATCCCTTATCCCTACTATTTCTCTACGTCCATACACAGGTACACCCCTGGGAGCTAAATTCACAAGTGGTGCCAATGAACCAGAAATGCCTGGCTGTGCGTAAAAATGAGTGCTATTTGAACAATCTGCTATGCCTTAGTCATGGGAGTGCCTGCTGGGAGACACTAGCTCTCATGCGGGACAATGACAGAGACCAAAGGCCTCTTGCAAACGCCGCTGGATCTATGGAGACCGAGACACCCATACGTGTTTACCTGGGGAGCCTGCCAGAGAGTCCCCTCTGCTGAAGGCGAAGGTACGAGACACAGAGACGGGCACTAAAGAGTCAAGGGCCAAGGAGTTGTGAGTTGCAAGGGGAAGATGAACACAAAAGGAGAGAGACAAAGAGCAAAGTGGGTGAGACAGTCTTTTCCTGGATCTTCACAGCATCACATTTCTCTGCAAAAGGGAATCTTGTCTCTGAAAACATTGAAATCACATCCTCTTACAAAGTCACTCTCCAGAAAGAGGAAAATAAAACAGACTTTGCTTCAGGTCATCTGAAAAGATGTGCAATCATCTTAGAGGGCATCAGACCTGCCAATGACAAGAACAGGCAGTGCCCCAGGGGGGAGCACATGTAGGCAGCACTCTCTCTGAGGCAGCCTTTTTGAGCCAGCAGATACACTGGGAGCCCAGCACTGCATTCCCACCAGGCTCTCCCAGCTGCCACACGTGTCCTGCTCACCTGCAGGAAGGCTGAAAGCAAAGTGCATGCTCCTGCTAGGGGCATCCTTCATGAGGCTGTATCCTGCCTCAGACTCCTAGGAGCTCCCTCTGTGGTCATGGTGCTGGGGAGAGACAGTGCATTGCTAGAGGCTTTGGATACAGGAAAGGCAACATTTCTAGCAATTTTAATGTGAATCAACTTGATGATTTAAATCATAGTCATTTCTTAGCAAGTTCAAGTGCTCCAAAGCACCTCTCTTCTTATCTCCTTTTCCTTCTCTCTCTTTCCCCAAAGAGTCCAAAATGGTGCTGGCTGTCACTTGGGGTCTGGGGTGGGGTGAAGTGTGTAGCAATATCTAGTCCTTCTCCCATCTTGACCCTTGACTTGATCAAGTAGTGTTTCTGCATGGGAATCTGTCTTCATCTCTCTTATCTGCTCATTCCCAGAGTCCCTTCCAAGGAGCTAAAGTCAGTCAGTCTGCAGGTAACAGCACACTGAAATAGGCAGCTTTCACAGTCTTATTTGCTGCACTCGAGGATTTTACTGAAATTACCTGTATATGCAGGGGAGTGCAGGGGGCTTTATACCTACTTGATAATCATTTACTTTGACACAAGATGTCAAAGAATATTTGAATGGGCCACTAATGTTGTAAGACACAGTGGAATAAGAAACCCCACAGTCTCAAGAAGAAGCCTAGCACGTCCGGGCTGCAAATTAAATGTATATCCTGCCAAATAGATAGTAGACTTGTTCTCTCCCGACTACACTCCCCTATGGGCATCTGTTCTGGCGACCCTGAGCTCAGGCCCAGTTCCTCCAGAGTGCCAGGCTCGCCAGGGTCCTCCAGCAGTCAGAACCAAGATAAAGCAGACAGGACTGGCTGTGTTTCCTTTGCCCTGGTCAGGAAAACCAGAGTGACTTACTTGTACCCTCAAGTTAACTTTGAGGCATCCATCACAGAGCCAGGATTCTGGCAAATTCGTCACCCCATTCATCACCCTCAAAGGCTGGTAAAGCTAGAGGTTGCCTTCAAGGACAGGGGCAGTTTGCTGGACCAAGATCCTAAAAGAGCCTTAAGCTCTCCCTCAATCTATAGGCCAAGGTTCTTGGCTGGTAAAAGATGCTGGGTGGCTGGACCTGGGCTGAGAGTCCACCAGGGACAACCCTGGGGTGTGGTGGCCTTTGCAGTTACTTCACACTTCACCCCACTAAGTGGGGAGGGCTTGGGGGAGGATGGAAAATGTCTCCATACCCCTGCAGGCTAATTTGAATTCTTTTTCCTCCCGAAGATTGACAAAGATGCTCAGAAGTGTGGGGCAGGGTGGGGAGAAAATTTAATGCTTCCTTTTAATCAGTTTTGAAGGAGAGATTAGTGCTGCAAGTTTACTCCCATCTCACTGATAAAATGGAAGGATTTTCATAGAAGGAACTAGAGACAGGAAGGAAGAAAAGGAGGAAACCATCTTCCAACTACTTACACATTTTTTTTTTTTTTTTAAAGAAAGCTCATCTAAATTAAGTGGGCTGGGGAGCCTTATGTAGCTCCTTTCCCCCAGAGTTCCCACCTCTTCTCTTTGGTCTTTTGGCAGAGCCGGGACAGGGCCAACAGGTCTAGGTAACATTTAGAGTCACAGGAGTTACTCCACCTTGAGCAATCTCTAATGTGAGGCCGGAAATCTCCCATAGAGAACCAAGGTTGACCCAGTCTGGCAGCCCATCCCTTTCCCATCCAGAGTTCTTGTTCTGAGTACTGAACCTTCCTTCATCAACCCTAATTGAGATTTGTTGGCTTATGTAAGTATACTACTGTGCTAGGGTTTCTATTTTACAGATCTCCTTCAATGCATGTTGGGCCCATGGGTGTGGGCACCACTTCAATTTCATTTCAGCCCTCTGCTGGGCTAGGATGTGAAATTACACCACAAATTATTCCAATATTCCCATATAGAATTGCATTCTGGAACATGATGGGTCTTAAATCTGTATTTCATTGTGCTGTGTGAACTAGTGAGGGCACTGGAATGTATCTAGGTAAATCACTATTTGCTGGGTGATTTGGAGCAAGTCATTTCTTTAGTTTCTCTGTGTTAAAATGGTATCTACCTTTCAAGTGCCTAGGATTGTGATATCAAGCTTTGGGACCCTCTGATAAATCCCAGTATAAAGCATGATGTAAAGTCTTTTTTATGATGAGAGAAAACACCCCATTTGGCATTAAAATGGCCACCATAAACAGTAACAGCTCAAAGCAATGCAAAATTCAGACCAGTGAATCAAAAAGAAATCTAGAGAAATCATTCTTTCTGGATCACACTCATGTCACAATAAATGCCATGCCTTCTGAACACAAGTGCAGTAACTATGCAGGAACTAGCGAGAAGGTAGAGCACAGAAGGGACAGAGCAAACCAGCCAGCAGCCCTGTGCCAGTCCCCACCATCAACATGCTTGGCCAGCTGGCAGACACCTCTCCACCAGCTGAGATGCAGTGAACAAGGAAAGAGAAGCAGATAAGCAACATACTGCACCAGCCTGGGACTTACATCCCAAGATCTCACAGTCGCTTCTTACTAACCCCACAGACACAAAATAGCATAGTAGGTTTTCAAGTGAATTATCCTAGCAGAGAAGGGAAGGCTGAACTTCCACCAAAACACACAAGCACCTGCCTGCATTCTCTGGCAGGTGACAATAAACAGTGCCTTCCCTCACAGACTCCCTCTCTGCCATTCATCACTTGCACATGAGCAGAGAAGCAGCAGAAAACATTCCAGACACACAGAAACTAAGCTCCCGTGGTCTGTGGGTACCTGGCAGGAAGCAGTGCTCCTGGCAGAGCATTACAAAGAGGCTGCCAGCATTTGTGTTAGCCTCAGCCCAGGCTCGGAGTGCTCGGTCCAGGGCCCCAGAGTGGGCTGAGGCAGGACTACGCTGGGGAGGGCGAGGGAGGGGTTTGAGAGATACATACAAAAGACAGAGGATCCAGCCAGACTTCCAACCTTCCGCACTTCGTTATCTAAGGACAGAAGAATGCAGTGTGTTTCACAAGCAATTCAGAAAACACACATTCTTATGGGAATTCTCCCTTTTCCACCCCACCCCAGCACCAATTAACCCTGCAAAAACCAGGCAATCAAATAGAAGTGTAAAAAGCAAAATAAACTTATCTTTTCACACTGAAAAATACCACTATCATCCCTAACACATGATAATGTTACAGCCCATTGTGAACTTCCATAAAAAATCTTTCTGAATGAAATATGCTTCTTATACCCATTTTACAAAGGAGGAAACTAAAGCCTAGGAAGTTAAATGCTTGTCCAGGGTCCCTAACAGGAGTCAAGATGAACTCAGATGCTTTTTTCTACAACATTCCATTGCCTCTCCAATAAGCTATGGCTTAGGAACCAGAATACCTGAGCAAGCAGTGGTCATGATGGCTGGGACACCATAGTAGGTGAAGGCTCCATTCTCGAAGCGAAGGCCTTCCTTCCCAACCTCCACCTCCACTTTACCCTGGAAACAGAAGGAAGTGTACTTAGAGCGTGTACAAGCACTTCCAGTCCTATTGACTACCACCCTAAGCACTTCTGCCTGGATCACAAGAGGACTTACGTTCTTATCACAGGAGAATGTGAATTCTGCGCAGACTTACACTTCAGAAACAGCACATCTGACTTCAATAGCCCTCTGCAGTAAATTAATTGCTTAGTTCATAAAGCAGCATCCAGTCATGAATAACCAAGCTTTCCTTGCATACTGTACTGGACCTTCCATGATACAGCTCCAGGCACCAGCTAGTCTGGGGCCCCATAAACTGCCCTATTGGTTTAGTCTGAGATAAGACCATCTTTAAGTCTGGCTGACATAAAATCTGATTCTGCACAAAGTTTGTTGAATTCATCAGCAGTTATAATGATACTAATGGGTATCAGATAGTGTATGTCGATGGGCCTGACACTGTGTTATGTGTACTGCATGGACTCCCATTCAGTTGGTCCCACAACTCTATGAGGCCCGTACTGTTTGTATCCCTAGTTTACAGATGAAGCCATTTTGAGGCTCACAGAGATTAAATAACTTGGTCAAGGTTGGTTAGGAAGCAGCAATATTGGAAATTTCAAAGCCAGATCTTTCCAATTTCTGAACCCACACTCTTGCCACTACATTTTAATTCCTCCAAGTTTTATCTGTGAACAGTTAAGTTTATATTAAGCATAAGAGAGTCAATTGTATAGGTTCATTATGTTAGATAAATAATGTAACAGGACCCTTCTCGATTTCCGACAGTGAAGAACGTGACTCCATTTTTGGAGAAAGGAGGTCATTTTACTGAGATTGTTTGGAAGGACGGCTTAAATCCCTTAAGATTTTAAGACAATTACTGTATTCAGACTTCATAAGATTCTGTTGGGAAGAGACATGGAATAGCGACAGGGCTAATGGTGGAGCCAGGCCAGGGCACCAGCAGTATCACAAATTGGAACCATGCCTGACACTCATTTACGACAGGCCTGTCGAGGCCCCGAGGGCAGAAGGTGATCATACTTATGTGAGCACCAGGAAGATGCTACACCTCTTTCACTAGGTCATTTATTCCCTTCCTGGTCCTCTCGAGGGGGAGAAGATTCCAGGGACTGCAGAGGCTGAAACGTGGCAGAGAGTGGATGTGTTCTGTGCACCTCCAGAGAGCGGAGTGAGGACCAGTAGGTGGAAGTCAGAGATGGTGAGATTTCAGCTTGACAGAAGGAAGGGCTTTAAACAAGAAGTGTCTGAAGTTTGGGAGGCAGTAGACTGTTTCATTTCTGGGCATGTCCAAGCAGAGACAAGGAGGTCTTAGGGATGCTGTAGGACAGCAGTTTTGGAAGTTCAGTCACAGAAACTCTCTGCTGGGGAAGTACCTGCCCTACTACCCCACCACAAACATTGCTGATGTCAGATGCAATGCCATCAAGATCCCACCACTCCCAGGACATCAGCCAGTCATACATGGCCCCTGCTTTGGGTCATGGACAAACGCCCACCTCAACAGGCCTTGCTCTGGAGGCAGCCAGCCAAGCCTTGGAACCTGGCACTGAGGAGGCAGGGCCATTCCTCTCCAGCTGGAGATGCCCCCAGCTTGCCCTTAGAGGGTCCCTGGCTTTCTCACTCACCTGCAGAAGCAGCACAAAGTAGTCCACGGGGCGATTGCGCTGGTAGAGGTAGTGTTCTGGAGACTTCTTGTTCTTTTCATCAAACTTCAACTCCTGGATCACATTTGGATGTTTCAAGAGCCGAAGCAGGATCTTCTCCGACAGGTACAGAGACTTAAAGGGCTCCACTTCTAGGGGAGAATGAGAGACAGGACGAATTGGCAGCGGGGAGGAGTCAGGGTGAGCATAAGCAGGGCGTGTGTCTAGAGCCACCTCCACTCATGCTCCTGGCACCCAGCTGGCAGGGTTCCTGCGATTCCCTCGAGTTGGGGGGTCTCAGGCCTTCCCCATGTCCTCTAGGGATGTGCGTCTCTGCATTGGCAGCTCAGGAGAAACATCTCACCATTTTGCAAATGTCAGTTTTGTTATTAATTTTCTCCTTGATTTTATTTAAAGTTGGGCATGGACTTAAAAAAGAAGGTAACCTTGCCATTTGTGACAGCATGGATGAACCTGGAGGACATCATGCTAAGTGAAATAAGCCTGAAACAGTGCATGATACCACTTACATGATGAATCTAAAACAGTCAAACTCATAGAACAGAGAGTAGAATGGAGGTTGTCAGGGATTAGCGGGAGGGGGAAACAGGGAGGTATTAGTCAAAGGGACAAAGTTTCAGTTATGCAGGATGAATAAGTCCTAGAGATCCACTGCACAGCACAGAGCCTAGAGTTAACAATACTGTATCATATACTTAAAAGTTTGCTAAAAGAGTGGCTATTAAGTTTTCTTACCACACAAATAATAATAACAAACAAAGAAGGTAGGAGGAAACTTTTACAGGTGATGGTTATGTTTATGGCATAGATTGTGGTGATGGTTTCACGGGTGTATACTTATCTCCAAACTCATCAAATCGTATACATTAAATATACACTGCTTGTTGTATGTCAATCAAACCTCAATAAAGTGGTTTAAAAAAAAAGTTAGGGATGGATAAGTAAGCCTTGTGAACAACAAAGGCTTTAAAACCATAACCAAATGATATACAGAGAATTTAATCTGACTTATTTCTATGACATGAATGAAATGAAATTCCAAGTTAACAGAGACAATTATTTAAGTGATAAGTTCTCAATAATGTGAAGTATCATCGCATCATATTCACATATTAGCAGATATTCTTACATATTATGTTATGTTATATTATACCGTACCATATTATATTAACAGATACAGCTGCTTTGCTCTAGGAATTCAGGCAGCCAGTAGTTAAAAGAAATCTGTATTCAGAACTAGATAACATGTTGAAAATTCTACTTTAAAGAAGCACCAACTTAAAATTTTCTACTTTTTAGCCCCTGGAACACCACTAGCACTCATTAGACATTCAATAAATATATGTTGGATTAACTAAATATTGAACTTAACGATGGATGAGATCATTCTAGGTCAGCACATTAATCAGGCATGGATGAGAAGGTCAGAGGGTTCAAAGGCAAATTTTACCTTCTTTAGAAGAAGGAGAAGTTTATCTTTGGATCCTCTCACCTTTTTTTCCTTTCTACAGATTCCAAGATTCACAATCCACTTCTGTATTTTAAGAACTCATAGCTCACAGGCCTATGTGGTCCCTGGAGGGTACTGGAGCCCAGGGCCTTGTGGTTGGGTAGGATAACGCCTCTCCCTCCCCTACAAATCCTCTGGGGCACCCCAACTCCAACAGGATGGAGGTCGGCCTAAAAGGCTCCTGCCAGGAGGCAAGTGGAGGAAGGGAAAAGTGCAGCAATGGTTTCTTTAGCTCTTTTCTCAAGTAGAAGGGAGAAAAACAGAGTTGGGTTGTACTTACTTCCTCCTGAGAAGAACAGGCCTGGGGCTGAAAATGACAGCACGTGGCATGCCATCGCTCTACCTAAGGCAACCTCCTCATTTGGAACAGTGGTTCTCAGTCCTGGCTGCACACTGGAATTAGTTTGCAAGGTGTTAAAAATGATTGGTGCCTGGGTCCCACCCTCCAGATTCTGTTTACCTGCCTGTGATGGAGACACCAGTGGGCAGAGTCATACCTGTGGCCATGAAGCGGTGTGTGGCCAGCAGAAGCTGTGGAGAGATCTTCACCCTCATCTCCGAGTCGGAAAGTTTAAACAAGGAGAAGTCATGCCGCTTCCTCTCCCGGTGCGGGACCCTCTGCTTTTTCCGATTGTCGGCTGTGGGATCACATGGGACAGATTGTGGCTATCTCAGAATCACTATTGGGTTTGGAGGTTTTCCCAGAGTCATATGGGACAGACAGATCCTTTGGGACCACGTGAATTTCTGCCAAGTGTCAACTGTAGGTGACATTACAACATCTCTTTCCCAGGGAGTGGAAGGATGATGATAAGGGATAGAAGGTGGGGGATGCTATAATGTCTCAGCGTTACTTACACTTAGGTGGTGGATAGTGGAAAAGGGTGTATAGTGACTTGGGGTCCCCAAGACCAGGGTTCTAGGGCAGCTGTCCTACTTACAAGCTGTGCAACCTCTCTAAGCATCAGTGTTTGTTTTAATCTACACAGCGAGGTTAATCCTTAATAACTCTTCTACTCATCTGATGCAGTTATTCTGAGACTCCAACCAGAACCCATCTGTGAAATGCTTACAAAAAGGCATTCAGACAGGAGGGACATGCATTTTCACCATCGAGGGGTTTGGCGGGGTCTGGGGCTTTCTGCCTCTGTCCTTCTCCTGTCCCCGGAGCTGGGCTCACCTGGTCTCTTCCTGCTGATTTAAACCATGCTCTGAGCAGTACCTGAGGTATGCCACCCAAGGGAGGAGGTGGTCACCTCCTCTTCCCACTCACAATTCTCCTGATTCAACCCTAGCCCCCTCCGTGTGGAGAGAACTGGGGGAAATAAATGGAAGCAAGGAGAAGAAATGGGAACAGCTCTGTAACGTGCAGAGACGAGTTCTTTGGGCAGGGGCCTCAGGCAGGACCTGGAGGAACTCCAGAGATCCTATGATTGAGAAAATTTGCTTTTTCCAATTTATTTTTCTTCCTTCTTTTTTTACGCTTGTCTGAAAAAGTATTTTTGGGGGGTATGGGAATGTTTTCTTGGGTCATGTCTCTTTTGCTTTCCTTTAGTTTTGAGCAAAATTTTGAACCTTCTAGTCTATCTCACTTGTGCTGAGGGGAACAAAGGGATGTGGGTTTTCTCCAAACTTGGTTTGGAGAAAAACAGGCCTTTGGGGAACCAAGAGTGCAGGTTGAGCAGATACAGTGGAAATTAAAGGCTCCCAGGACTCTCTCTCTCTCCTTCTGGAACTCGCTTCAGCCACACTGGTTGGAATTCCTTCTAGAAGGGAGAAAGTGCCCTTCAACCACGCTGCTTTCTTCTGGGCCTGCCTTGGACTCTGGGCCCCTGCTTAGCACCTTTTGCTCGGATTGCAACAGTGGCTAGATCCAGACCCAAATGTCCTGTGGGTCAGGGTCAAGTGAGAAGAAACACAGTATTCCCGGCTCCTTGGCCTTCTTACAGCTCTTAAGGAATCCTGCCAGAAGCTTATTTATAAGCGTGGGAAACCCTAACCTTCTCCTACAGAAAGAGGATCGCTCAGCAAGAGAGCAGCAAATATATGCATCAGACCCGTTCTTTTGCTCTCACAGGTGAGCAACCTTCTGCTTTTCATGACATGTTTGCCAAAATATCCCCTCTCTTTCCTCCATCAGAATGCCACTTAACATGTCATCATTGGAGAATCATTCCCCTGATCTCCTCTTCATTCTTTTTATTTTAATATTGAGCGTTTGGAGCATTAAGGTTGTTAGAACAAATGCCCTAGGAGGAGCTTACTCATTTACTTATTCATTACACTATTATCAGCCACTAACACTTTAGTGTGAATGTCTTCACCAATATTTCTATGGAAACACTTGGGAATCCTAAATCAAGAGTAGTGGGCAGAGGTGGAGAAGGGAAGGGGGAGGGAGAGGTCAATCCCTATTTGAAGAAGACAGGCCTGGCCAGGGCACCACAGCAATACCAGATACTGTGACATTCCTGCTGTGTTTTATCAAGGTCTGGCCCATCTTTTAGGTTTGATCTCTTCTTAGTCCAAGGAGAAGGCATTCTTCCTGCACCACGCACTGCTCTATAGTATCAAAGCTTTTTCTCCCGGGAGTTTGTTTCTAGCTGCTCAATAGCTACTTCTAGCAAACACAGGACAGGGGTCTGGAATGGGTTATCTGAGGGGAGGAAAAGGGATTGGTGCCCCACAAGATGAAATTCAGGGGAGGAAACATTTCTTGGCCTAGGGACTCCTGTGGATTTAGATAACACTCCCAAGCCCGGAGACAAAGCACGCCTTTGCAATGTTTGCAAGCAAAGCTTTGAGAAGGCTCAGTACCCCAAAGCAGTCACTGTCTGCATAGAAGAGTCCATGTTGTTCCTGAGGGGCAGTGGGTGGGAGGGTGAGGAGACCAGGAAGAAGGGAGCAGGGACAGAAGCAGGGGCAGGAGCCAGGGGTGCAGAAGGGAGGAGAACAAGAAACCAGGCGGCAGAGCTAAAAAAGCATAAGGGAGAAGAGCAGTGTCTAAGAAGCGATAGTCAAGGTTTTGGCATAGGTTGCGGGTGGGAAACCTCATGACAGTCTCCATTGCGCACTGATGTTCTGGTGTGAGTGGAACCCCATGGGTAGTGGGGTCTGAGTCTAGGTGGGCGAAGAGACAAAACAGAAACAACACAGGGGACAGAAACAAGGGCAGAGCGGCCTCTGGCCATCATCCGAGGTACACTTTGTTTCCTTTAGTTCCTTTTCCATCCAAAGACCAGGAAGTCTCCTTTTCATAGTCTTGGCTCAGTTCCTGAAGGTCCCCTCCTGATAAACATTCAGCTAGCACATCCTCGGTGACTCGGGGTGGTTCAAGTCAGGGTATCTGGCCGTGCTGGCATCAGGTGACTGACACATACATGGGGCTTGCCCTGATACCCTTTCACACTGTCTATCAAACTAAGCCAGTTCTGAGAGTCTCAGAGGAAAACAGGATGACCTTGGACGATGGCCAAGGCTGTGCACTTACTATAGAGGTCAGTTTCATCCAGGATCTCTGATTTGATGATCTCCTCTATGATGTCCTCCAGTGTGACAATGCCCATCACCTCGTAGAAGGGGTCCCCTTCTCCCTCATTATTCACCCGCTGAACGATGGCCAGGTGAGATTTTCCTGAAGAACAAATGAAGTTGTAGTTAAGCATTGGGACATTTTCAGAGACCTTTCCTTGTAAGAAAATTATACAAATTTGTTCACTGACTAAGCTTGGGACTGAACCCATCCCAGGACCTCCTTAAAATATGAAGTTTGTGTACAAGCTCTTATAAATGCAAACATTATACTTTTATATCTCTGTCTCTTTTTAGGAAAGTTACCTAATATATCCAAAGCCAGTTAAATTTGTTTTCTTTGAACTTTCACATTTAGCAAATACATCTAAGCTGAAAGATGATGAATAACCTAATTGAAAGAACAATAATTGGAGTCAGAAGATTGGGTTGAAGCCGTTCTCCTCCTCCAAGCTTCCTCCCTCCCCTGACCTCAACTCTCCCACTTATTATCTGTGTGCCCGACCCTGGGCAGATCACTTAACCTCTACCGAGTCTCAATCTTCTCATCTAGAATTAGGGAATAATACCAGTGTGGTGATTTTAAAACATGGCCCCCACACTCTTTGATATGCCTCCCATTGAGAAGTGTGGTCTATAGCCCCTTCCCTTGAGTCTGGGCAGGCTTGTGACTGCTTCAACCAATAGAGAATGGGGACGTGTCTGCTATGTGACTTCTGAGGCTAGGTCATAAAAGGCATGCGGCTTCTGCTGCAGAAACATTCTAAGAAGTCTGACAATTACCCTGAGGCTGCCATGGTGGAGAGGCCACACACGTGCTTAGGCGACAGTCCCAGCTGAGACCAGCCTTCCAGGCATCCTACTAAAGTGCCAGACAGGTTAGCAAAGAAGCCACCTTGGCAGTAGATGCACAATTTCAGCTGATCTAGTGCCACCCTCTGGAGTCCTCCCCAGCCATTCAAATCATCTCCAGCTGTGGGCCCAGTTACTGTGAAGAAGAAATAAGCCATTCCTGCTGTACATTGTCCAAATGCCTGACTCACAGAATCTGTGAGCATAATAAAATGGTTGTTGTTTTATGTTGCTAAGTATTGGAGTGCTTTGTTAGCAGCACTGGTAACTAGGACAACCAGTACCCATAGGTGACTGCGGAGCTCAAATGAACGAGCAGATGTGTAAAGGCACATTGTAAACTATAATGTGTCATAGGCAGTTTTTAAATTTTTATTGCCCAACAACTTAATAATAATAATTAACATTTATCGAGCTCTAATTATGTGCCAGGCACTATTCAGAGCACTTTACATGTATTGATTCATTTAATCTTCATAACAACCCTGACGCGAGTATTATTATTATCCCCATTTTACAAGTGAAAGAATTGAGGCTCAGATTGGTTAAGTAACATGCCTCAAGTTACACAGCCCATAAATGGCAGAGCTGGATTGCAAACCCAGGTAACTGGATTCAGTCCTAACCTAGGGACTGACTCTTACCTAACAGTCCTGCTTCACCTTGGTTTGTTTTCATCTTTTGATAGACACATTTCTTAGTCTTGTTTCTAAAATGCATATCTGAGTGGTTCTTTCTTTGGCTAAGAGACATTTAAGGAAAAAATTGAGGGTACTGACTTAGATGTGTTATTCTTGCCAAAAAAAGAAAAAAGGAAGTTCATGCTTTCTCAGTGTTACCTTTTATAAGCTTTTCTCGGCCATCGATAAACATATCAGAGAAGAGAAGTAGTCAGTGTGCCAGAGGCATAATTAGCCATTAAAATTTAAACAGATGAATACCTTAAATCACAGGATAGTTACCCATTGGAATTTTTACCCAGAAATAAATGGGAAAGATGGCATTTGTATCACTCAAGAATGGTCTCTAATTCCTTCTCCACCTTCAACCTGTCCTTTGACTCACTCCCACTGATCTGATCATACCATTTCCCTGCTCAATGACCCTCCATGGCTCCCTAGTGCTCACAGAAGCAAGTCTAGATTCATTAGTTTGGTATTATCAAGACTGCAAAATGGGGCTCTTCTCTATCTTTCTAAATGCATTTCCTGCTACATTCCCTAATCATTCTATACTCCAGCTGTACCAGGTTACCTCCACTTCCTCAATTTCCTCCATGTCCACTTTCCAAGTCTTGGCTCACACTGGTCTTTCTGCTATCCTCTCTCCGCTGGCCCTTCCAGTTATAGCTCAGGTGTCAGTTCCTCAAGAAAGCTCTCCCAGATCTGCCCCATTCTGAATCTGAACCAACCTCTCCTCGCCTGTGTTTCTAAGTCCCTGATAACTACATTAGAGAATTTATCACATTAGAGAATTTATCACAAGTTGCTGCTTCTTGTAACTAGCAATGTGTGTGTCCTCTGCTGGACCATGTTTCTTCCTCAGATCACAAGATCCTTCAGGACAAAGTCTCATACACTTAGATATGCTTCCGTCCATACAACGAGCAGCCAATAAGTGCCTGATGAACTGAACTAATACTGAATAAAATCCACAGTTGATATTATAGATAATATTAAAATGAGATACTAAAATGTTTATTTTTTGATAAAATACAATGTGTTTAAATTAAACTCTGCATCAGTGGTTCTAAAATTATCCTTTGAAACAACTGCATCCTACCCATCTGGACTGAAGTGTTTTGTAGCTTAAATTAGATTATGTTCATTGTTAGAATGTGCTCAATTTAAAGGTTTTTTTTCCAACACATTGTTCTTAAACTTATGCTACCCGTTCTCACTTTTCTGCTAACATGTGCTGGCAGATAGCAAAACAAATGACTAGTATAATGGAAAAACTTGGAAAAGTGATTTCTTAAAATTGTTTTCTATAACTGGATACTTTTTGCAGTGTGGAACCTAGAATACAGACAATACAGCCATACTTCCTGCCACTAAGATGATTAGTTCATATGATAGGATTAAATAAATTGATATTTTATGATGTTTCACAAAGAGTACCATAACTTCCATGTGAAAATCCACCATTGGTCTATACTTGGTAAGTTCAATTTGAGGATACACTATGCGATCACCAGAGAATAGAGATTTTAAGTCCTAATTACATGATATTCAAGACAATGTACTTAGGTAATCTATTTAGAAACATTTTGTTACCACAATCAGTCCTTAAGATTCCCTCAAGTGCCTGTAGAGATCTAAAAACAAATGAAGGAAGTCATTCTTTCTTGGGTACAGACTAGAAGAGGAATCAGCAATCACATAACCCTGTTCTGAGCTGACACACAGGGACAAGAAAACTGCTGTTCTCATGATACACATACTTGAGGTCCTTCCTCTTTCAAAAAAGTTGGCCCGTAAGAGACCTATCTCCTCATATCCCTTCTCTTCCTGGGCCCAGACGTGTTGGAGCGGCCCCAAGTGAAGCCAATCTTGAGACATGGAAAAGTGAGTCATTTTCTCCTGCCAAAGCACTTTGTACATCCCTGTCTATTGGCATTTACAATAACAATAATAACAGCTATTATTATTATTATAGCAGCTACCATTTGCTATACACTCTGGGGACCAGGCACAGTGCTAGGCACTGCATATACATTATTTCACCATGTCATTGTTCTCTATTTATATGTGATCCTCCCACTACGATGGTGAGCTCCTTGAGGGGCAATAGCTATGTTCTACTTATCTCCATTTCCCCAGAATCTAGGACAGCACCTGGCACAGAGGGAGAACGCCATAACTAGTGGGTGATAAGTAGATATCCACATGAAAAAGAAGGAAGCTGGACACCTACCTCACATCATATACAAAAATTAATTCAAAATGGATCAAATGCCTAAATGTAACAGTGAAAACTATAAAACTCTTAGGAAAAAACATAGGAGTAAATCTTTGTGACCTTGGAGTAGGAAATGGTTTTTTAGATAAGACACCAAAAGCACAAGCAAGAAAGAAAAATAAGTAGATAAATTAGACTTCATCAAAATTAAAAAGGGACAGCATCAAAAAAGTGTAAGATAACTTACAGAATGGGAGAAGACATTTGCAAACCACATATCTGATAGGGAGCTTGTATTCAGAATATACAAAGAAAATTTATAACTCATAAAAACAACTCAATTAAAAAGTGGGCAAGGGATGTGAATAGAGATCTATCCAAGCAAGATATATAATTGGCCAATAAGCACATGAAAAGATGCTCAACATCTTCATCATTAGGGAAATGCAAATCAAAACCCCAATGTGGGGTTGGCCCCATGGCTGAGTGGTTAAGTTCCCGCACTCCGCTGCAGGCGGCCCAGTGTTTTGCTGGTTTGAATCCTGGGCGCGGACATGGCACTGCTCATCAAACCACACTGAGGCAGAGTCCCACATGCCACAACTAGAAGGACCCACAACGAAGAATATACAACAATGTACTGGGGGGCTTTGGGGAGAAAAAGGAAAAAAAAAAAACCCCAATGGGATACCACTTTATACCCACGAGAAAGGCTACAATAAAAAAGACAGACAAAAACAAATCTTGATGGGGATGTAGAGAAATTGGAATCCTCGGACATTACTGGTGGGATTGTAAAGTGATTCATCTGCTTTGGAAAACAGTTTGGCAGTTTCTCAAAATATTAAACATAAATTATCTTATGATCCAGCAATTTCACTCTTAGGTATATACCCAAGAGAAATGAAAGCATATGTCCACACAAAAACATGTACACAAATGTTCACAGCCTTATTATTCCTAACAGCTAAAAAGTGGAAACAATCCAAATGTCCATCAACTGATCAATGGATATGCAATATGTAGTATATCCAGACAACGGAATATCATCAGGCTGTAAAAAGGGAATGAAGTACTGATACACACTACAACATGGACAAACTTTGAAAATATTATGCTGAGTGAAAGAAGCTAGACACAAAAGGCCACACATTGTATGACTTCAATTATACGGAATTTCCAGAATAGGCTAATCTATAGAGAAAGAAAGTAGATTAGTAATTGCCAAGAGCTAGGGGAAGAAGGGAATGGGAAGAAATTAAGGAGTTTCTTTTGGGGTGATGAAATGTTCTAGAATTAGATAGTGATGGCTACACAATGGATGGTCCACTGAATTGTACACCTTAAAAG